CCCCAAAACCCCAAAACCCCAAAACCCCAAAACCCCAAAACCCCGAATTTAGGAGGGCGTATTGAATTAATTGTTTTAGGAGAGCAGTGAAAATGTTTTTTAAGAAAGGTTTCGATGTTAATGCTTCTTTTCGGAATTTTAAAATGGATCTTGGGGAACAAGAATTTATGTTACCTAAGATTTTTACAAATTAAAATATCGGTGAAACTAATTAGATAAGAAAACGAAGAGCAAATGAAATAATTTCTAACTTTCTGAGTCTATATCCCAAACTTTTCGGACTCATTTGAATGATACATTAGAGATTTGTAAGGATCAGGAGCCTTTTATCAAAGATCCTTATTGAACATTGACAATAGTTTTGAAAATAGATTTAATATTCAATAGATCCATGCGATTCATCTATTTGAGCTATTTCTGGCATTTCCTCTACTCGTCTTGCTTCTGAATAGGATATGTTTCTAGATTTATGAGAAAAGAGCATTACTGAGGGGCTAAATTGCTTGAATTACTATTTTCTATTTTAGAAAGATTTGAAGTCTTGTTCATCCTCTCCCGCTTTTGGATAATAAGACTCTCATCTCTGATATTGCTATTTTGACTACTCATGTGATCTCTCCTTGAGTTGGCATTTTGGCTTTTAGACTCTTCATTATCGATTCTAAAATCAAAGCTTTAGTGAGAAAATAATACATTTTCTTACTGGTTATTCCTGGCAAGCTGATCTATAGATTTTAGTTCATCATTTAACTCGTCAATAAATTCATGAATTCCATCTAATTCACTCTTTTTCTTACTAGCTGAGCTTCGAGAGATATTATTTTCATTAATTTCTTCGTTTTGAGATGTATTCTGTACCATTATCGAGGGTTGTTTTTCCATCAGAGTTGGACCTTGGTTGAGCGATGAATTCTATTATTAATATTGAAAAGAGTTACCTTGGCTTCTTCATTGAGATTCCTACTTTTCTTGTTTTCTTCCTCATCATCACTGAGGAATCTGTGGTCTACTTCAGAATCGTTGATACTGTTTACTTCGTCTGGAGAGTCTCTACTATTTCTTCTTGAGTCATCATTTCTGCTGTCTGAAGAATGGTGATTTTCGGTGAATGGCAGGATGAGAGTCTGAGTTTGCATCGCATTATTATTCCTGCCTTCTCTTCCAGCGCCTTGAGTTTGAAAATCATAGTTTTGTTGATCTCTATCTTGAGTATTGTAATTAATATCATCAATCTTTTGTTTCTTCCTTTGAAGTAGGTCTTCTCATGACATCATCTCACTCCGATCTTGCTCAAATTTCTTCCTGAACATCAAAGGAAACTCTTTCTCATAGATATTCTGATAGATAGAAGGAAAAATGGTCATATATTTTGAATATTGTACGCCAAAAGTCGCTTTGGATGTTTTAAATGTTTTGCATCATCATATTTTGGCCTTTGAAACTGATGTTATTAATAAAGTTCTCCCAACTTGGATAAGACCATCAGAGCCGAGTTTTGAAAGATCTATTGGCTTTTGCTCTGCAATGAGGGATCCGAACTTTGACCCTTGGTCGTCTAGGTATATTTCCTTCTTCATTCATATTAATTTACAGTGTAATCTAGAAATGCTAATATCTGTTATTCTGACATGGTTGTCATGACCTCTTCCAACATTTAGTTTTTTGAGTTTTTTGAAGTCAATGATATGTACCATTTTTGTATTTTTACGTAGAACTTCCTCGCTATTTAGAGCTTCCAAGATAATATAATTATTACTTGTTGGAGTCTCAATTCCTAGGATATTGACTACTCCAAATTGAGTTGTGACGTTTTCTGTAAAATTGTCTTTTCAGAGCTCACAGTACACATTTTCCCAAAGATATGAGCTGAAGTAGGTTCCTTTCTTCTCTGATCTTTTTGCTATAAGAAGTTTATTAGGATAAATTTAGCTCTTACAGCTGAGCCACTCTTTTAAACAATCAAGATGAATATACTTCATGGTCCCAGAGCATTTTCAAGGAGAGATCATTGGGTTGTCATTATCAGAATCTTCAGATAAGCATATCCTTCAAAGCATTTCCCCTTTACTTTGCTGGGATGCATTTTCTGGAACTTCTCTTTGTGAACATCTTGGCTCATCTTTTTCCATTCAGTCTAATGCTGTATTGACACTAGCCCCTCTGTTCATATTGAGCTGATGACTGAGTCTTATTTCTCCATTTCTGCCTTCGATCTCAGTGTTATCAAGACTAGAAGGTTGAAGCAATCAATTACCTTTCTTCACGATCATTGTTGACACTTTTTGATGATATGACTTTTACCTCATAAATATATCTACCAAGCTTGAGGATGTCTCCTTTTCCCAATTTTTCTGGCTTCCATTTTAGGCCAGGATATCTTTTTGGAGACTTCAACACTCTCCAGGTGTATCCTTTATCATTCTGCATGAAGTATTTCCCGTTTATATAGACAACAGATACTAAAATAATGAGTTAGGATTGACTAGGCCTTACCTGAGAAATCTTGGTTTTCAATCGGATGTTCTAATGAATTTAGTTCAGTGTTTGGAAAAATTTTATCATCAGCCATTTTGTTCAGGAGGCATGACTGGAATGCTTTAAATAGTCTTTGACTTCACAACGTTCTTGGAATCGTAATCAAAGAGGCCGTGAGAATCTCTATACCAGGTCCTAGCTTGAATTTGAGCGTACGAGCCTTTGACAATGTCAAAATCTAGATCATGGTTGAGGGTGAATATGAGGAAATAAGATTTTTATTTATAAATTTTGATGTAGACTACTATGAAGTGGATTATTTCATAACTGTAACTGGAACAAGAATGAAATCTCCATTTGTTCGCATCTCAGAAGGGATACATAAGTGACAAGTCAACGACTAAATAGAAATGTAAAACTTGACATAAAAATAAGGTCTCTTTCATTTTTTGCGGAAACATTATCTCAGTATGAAAGAGCATATTAATTTTCACCTTAATTTTATGATTAATTTTAATGTAGTTCTCATATAAATTGAGATTGTTACTATAGCTTTTCTTTTGTTGGTGATTAAATTCGCTTCAATACCAATGAAAATGAAGAATCATCAGGATTAATAATAATACTCAATTTATAATCTGATTAGATCCAAACCCACACATAATATTTTGAGTACCTTCTTCAAGTGCATTCTCAGGGAGGTCTGCAACCTTATTTTTGAACTTCATATTTTATTATAATTTCATTCGCTCACTAACTTAGTGGGGTTTTGGGGTTTTGGGGTTTTGGGGTTTTGGGG